ACTTCTCTAAAAAATTATTAGGTGCGCAACTAAGTTCTCGCTGTATTTTTTTTTATGAAAATGCAACTTCATTGTGAAAAAATGGTTACAAATGAATCATTCCAAGTATTGCCCATCGCTAGCTACAACTTTTTCCCATCTTTCTGGCAGAGCTCGAATACCGTTCGTCTTGTGAGGTGTGACCGTTCTTAATTAGTTATACGCGAGAATACGGCCAAACTTCGTTCCCACCGTTGCGGCGACGGCCGAGCCTGCCAGCAGCTCTCACAAAAGAAGTCCGACTTGGTAGAGCGACAGAGTTTGTGCGTAGACGCGCGACTTTCCTTCGCGCGACACGGGAGGACAGGTGACAGAATGGAGGAATCCTAAAGAATTACAAAATCCGCTCAACATTAACGCTGTATTTAACAAAACAAAAAAACAAGAACAGCGAGAGAATCAGGCGGGACTCCGAATCGCGCATTCGCGAGGCGATTCGGCAGCCAAATCCGTAGTCGAGGATCCGTCTGCCTCACGGAGTTCGGACGTCATGCGGCTCGCAAAAATCTATCGTCATATGCTAATTACTGAATTGGGCGCCAGCCGGGTACGTCCCGGCCCTAATTGTCACATCGCGAACCACGTATTTCTCGCCACTCTCGGAGACCCGCACTTACGGATGATCGCGAGTCGTCATAATATTCACGCAATCACTCGCCGGCCTGTGCGGTCGCGAACGCGGTGAAGCGGCAGCAGGCAGCGCGGTAAGGACGGCTACTCTCTCGCAGGCCCCAAATCTGAGCCCGCGATCGCGAGGTCGGACGGGTCGTCAAGGATGGCGACGAACCCTTCCGGCTGCCGTCGTGAAGCAACGGCAACCATCCCGATCTTTCGGCGCCGGGGCTGAACGACAGGCGGAAGACAGCTCACCAAATCTCCCTCGCAGGGCTCGCTCCCGTTCTCCGTCTGCTCGTGCGCTCGCTCGCTGACTCGCTCGCTCGTTTGTTCGCTCGCTCCTTCGCTCGGAATCGCAGGATTAGCCGTAGCACTCGCGTCGCTCGCTATCCGCACAGGCTCCTTCGGCTCGCGGCCTCAGCCGCCGATCGCCAATAGGTCCTATTGGTCCTGCGGAAGCGTACGGCTCTAGCGTGGGCTCCTTACAGGGCCCGCGCGACCCCGCCGAATTCTCTATCTCCTTGTCGACGGGATCCTGTGCCCGACGGCATCCTTAACTTGTGTGGTCGCACAGGTGGATGCCGGAGGTTCTTGGTATCCCAGGGCGTCCCCCGGGATCTGGTCCTTAAGGTCCATCCCTTCCTGGCGCCCCGCGGCAAGTTAATCGGGGCCCCCACCGCTTATGTTAGCGAGGGGTGGATCCTGCCCCGTTTGGCTCGTCGTCCGCTTCAGGCCCGCCGTCGCCCCGCTCCGATAGATGCACCCTGTCACACTCGTCGCAACCCGAGCACATAAATAAAACCAGAAAATTACAAAGTAGGAAAATTACAAAATCTTCGCCGCCGCCCTTCCCGCGGGAGAAGGGAGTGCGAGCACAGCTCTCCTCGTCTCCCAGTCAAAATCGGCGAAATCGCCACGTCACATCCCCCCTCCCTGGGGAGGACCGAGGAGGTCGGGGCGGCCCGCCGCTCAGCCGATTGCGCGCCCTCGCACGCTGCCTCCGGGGTTCGCGGGGGGTCGGGTGGTCGCAAGAACTACTGTCTCTCTCTCCTTCCTGTCTTTTGACTAGTTCAATTTTATTTTTCTTTCCCGCGCCTGCTCGTCGGTACTCGACGGCAACCTGGCATAAGCGTCTGTGCTAATTCTAGCCCGGGACACCTAGGCGAGAGCCTCGGCATCCTAACAAAAGAGTAACGAAGAGAAAAAAGCAAGGCACTGAAGAAAAAAACAATTCGGCGAGTTCTCGGCAACCGCTCACTGACGCATCCAGGGGGAGGGAAGAAGACTCCGTCTGGAGAGGGGCCAGGGGTTCCGCCGTTAGGGGTGTTCGTCGCGGAAGCCTCCTTTCTTTCCCATGTGGCCGAGGTCTGGGTGATAGGGCCCCAGGTCCCTCCAGTCCTCCCGGCAGGTCGGACACTCCCGCATTGTCCTCCCCTGTCGGCCACACCCGTAACAAAACGGACGGTCCTTCGGGAGGGGGCACGTCGAGTAGCGGTGTCCCCGGGACCGGCAATTCCAACACCGGTCCGCATTCCTTGTAGGCCCGCCCTGGCTGGTGCCCTCCGACGCCGCTCCAGGGGATCGACTTGGACGGCGTGGTCGTTCGGGGGCTTCTGCCCGTGGTCGGATCCGCGAGCGGGATCGACCCAGCTTGGTGGGGCTGGTCTGGCTGTATTTGCCTCGGCTGTATTTGAGCGCCCCTCCTTTCGCCAGGCCTTTAATCTCAGTCTGGGCCGCCGTGGTTCGCGTGGGGGCTGGTCGGCAGCTCGGGACTGTCTGCGTCGACGCTGGTGGTCGCGGGGAAGTCCCTTACCACCGCCTGGTGTAGACGCTCGACCCTCATCGGCGTGTTTCGTAGGGCCTCCGCCACGTCGTCCCAAATATTTAATTCTCGCTCCCCATGGCGCAGAAATCGTCAAAATAGATTCTGAAGACGCGCTCCCACGGATCCTGCGGGTCCATTTTCGGCAGCCTGTGAGTTAATGGGAAGCGGAAGGTTGATAGGGTTTCAACTGACTAATGTGCACTCGTCCCTCTGGAGCCCCCTTCTCGGATAAGAGCTCGTACAGGATCGCGGAGAGCACTTTCCCAAAGCGAAAGGGTCCCGCGAACTTTGGCGAGAGCTTTGCAGCGATCCCCTGCGCGGCGGAAGGCAACACGTGCTGTCTTCGCATACCAAGTCTCCTACGCCGAATCTTCGCGGTAGTTGACGCAAGTTATACGCTTGCTCCTGATAGGCGGTATCTAGATGTTCGCGAACCCATGCATGCACCGCATCGAGACGGCGCATCCGTGCCGTCCATTCTCCCGGTTCGCGCGCGTTAACTTCTGAGGTCGCTTCACTTCGCCGTCTCAGCGTTTGCGGAGCCTCTAACTCACGACCAAAATTCAAGAAGGCGGGCGACGCGCCGAGGGACGTGTGGTGAGCCGAATTATAGACAAATCTGAAATCGTTCACGTGACGATCCCACTCTCGATGATCTCCCCTGAGATACGCGACGATCATCGTTTTGATTACGCGGTTTACTCGCTCTACCGGGTTCGCCTGCGGATGGTAAGGCGGTGTGTTGACCAGTTCGATTCCACACTCCCCCGCGAATTCTTTAAGGGTCCGGTTCACGAACTCCGTCCCATTATCCATGAGCGCGGCGCGCTCCATCGGGATATAACGAGATCCTCGAGCGCCTCTTTTATTTTCGGACCCGTCGCCACGCGCAGCGGGTGACATTCTATCCACTTGGTGAATAGATCCCGGATGACTACGAGGTACACGAATCCAGCCCTACTACGCGGCAGCGGTCCCACGATATCGGCAGCTATGGTCGTCCACGGTTGCTCGACCACGCGCGGCCCCATTAAACTGGCGACAGCCACCTGCTCTACTTTTGTACGCTGGCACGAGTCACAATGCCGGACGTACGCGGCGACGTCTCTACATTCCCGGCCAGTAGTAGGCTACCGCGATTCTATGGTAGGTCTTCTCTACTCCTAAGTGTCCTGACTTGGGTTCGTCGTGCGATTTGCGGAGCGCCTCTCCCCGTAGTTCTTTCGGCAGCACCAATTTCCATCGGTTTAGATCGCTAACCACCCCCTCTACCACCGACCTCGGTTGCCGAAAATATAGTCGATCATCTACGATTCTTCAGTCAGGGAAATGCTTCGGCCTCCGGAACACGTCCGCGAAGCGCCTATGATACCAGCGATCCGCAGGGTCAGGTGGAAGATGCGGCTCCATGGCCACCGCCACTACCTCCCTTCCCTCTGTCTCATACATGCGGGAGAGAGCGTCGGGAACATGATGAAGCGCCCCCTTCCGATGAACGACTTCGTAGTCGTATTTTAATAAATCGAGAGCCCAGCGAGCTAATCGGCCCGTGGGGTTATGCAAGTTGTGAAGCTAACGGAGACTACCATGATCCGTCACGACCGTAAAATGATATCCTTCCAGGTATGGTCGGAACTTTCTGATGGATCATACGACAGCCAGACACTCCTGTTCCGTCACAGAGTATTTTTTCTCAGGGTCGGTCAGAGCCCTGCTGGCAAACGCGATAATATTCTCCACCTCTTCAATCGTCTGAGTGAGCACGGCACCCAAGCCCACCGAACTCGCGTCCGTCTGCAGGCTAAACGGTTGGCTGAAATCAGGACACGAGAGCGTAGGAGCGGCAGCCAGATGAGCGCGGATCTGCCGAAACGCCTCCCCCTGCTCCGTCGTCCACTCTCACTGTTTATTCTTACGAAATAATCGGGTTAGAAGCTCACTCACGTCGCGAATTGAGGAATAAAGCGACGGTACCACGAAGACATCCAGAGGAATCGCCGAAGTTGTTTCAGATTCCTTGGGGCGGGGTAGTCGTGAATAGGCTGAGCTTTTTTCGGATCTACTCGGAGTTCTTCCTGACTAACCAAGAAGCCCAAATACCTAACTTGCGATCGACAGAACTCGCACTTCTCCGGATTGATGACTAATCCGGCCTCTGTAACCTTTCCTAACACACGCTCTAACCAGATCAAGTGTTCTTCAAAAGTGGACGTAACGATGACGATATCGTCCAGATACGCGAAGGCGTGTGGTTCCATCTCTGGCCCTATTAACTTTTCTAAAAGGCGCTGAAAGGTAGCCGGCGCGCCGGTCAATCCGTACGGCATCCTAGTAAAGTGGTACAATCCTTTACCCGGCACCCGAAACGCTGTGATCTCCTTACTATCTTTAGCGAGCGGAATTTGGAAATAAGCCTGGCTTAGATCCAGAGTCGAAATATATTTCGCGGCTCTCAACATATCAAGGATGCCAGTCATATTCGGGAGAGGATATGCATCCTTTTTCGAGATCTGATTTACTTTCCGGAAATCTAAGCAGAACCGATACTTTCCGTTAGGCTTTTTGACCATTCACTATCCGAGGGCTCGATCACCCCGGCCTCTAACATCTCATCGACCTCCTGCTTAATGGCTTCCTGCACTTTGAGAGAGACCAAATAGCAACGCTGGCGGATAGGCGCGTGCTGCCCTACATCGATATGATGTTCTGCTAATCCAGTGACTCCCAAGTTAAGCGACTCGGTCGGCAACCTATCTTTTAGAAAATTCTCTAACTGCCCCGATTGGTGCGAAGTGAGTTTAGATAGGCCGCTACACGCGTAGTCGCTTGCATCGGCATGCCTCACGAATAGATACTGCGCGCTCGGCTCGGCAGCCAAGTGCCACATCTCCTTCGATAAATCTACCACGAACTCAAATCGTCGCAAAAAGTCGATTCCGAGGATACACGGAACCGGCAACTGCGACCACAGACACGCGTGAAGACGATGCTCAGTGCCTTGTAACCGAATTGACACGTCGATTGCTTCGTCTAAACGGGCTAGCTCTCCCCCGGCGATTCTAATGTGGGCCCCCGGTTTCCTCTCGATAGGCAGCCCCAGATGCTCTATGATTCGCCTTCCCTCGACTCCTAATATTGTTCGCCCCAACCCGAAGTCCACCAACGCCAACAAAAAGTGTCCACCGATCGCGATCCTAATGTAGGGCAAGCTGGAGGGCCTCGCTCTTGCGAAGAGCGTTTAGGCCTCTCCCACTCGTCCCCCCTGATCTCCTAACCCGCGGGATGTCCCCTCGCTCCCCGGGGTCGCGACCTCCCGCCTTAATGACTCCCGGCCTCGTTTCCCGAGCATCCTGGACAGTCCCGCACCGAAACGCCTAGCTTCCCACACCGATAACAATGGAGTTTCGGCGGCTGTGGACAACTCCTAGCGAGGTGTTCCGCTTCCAAGCAGTTCCAAGAGCGCGCTCCCCGCGACTCCCCGCACCGGCTCACCGTCACTCGAAGGGTTAGGTCTGTCCCCGGCCTGGCCCGGGACCGCCGCGGCTGATTTCGATGTCGACGACCGTCCGCGTGAAGGAAGGCCAAAAACCTTCGAAGACGCTGAATTGGAGGCATTGCTCGATGAGGATCCATGCCAAACGCAAGAACAGCTTGCTTCAGCATTAGGAGTTACCCGCCAAGCCATTTCCAAGCGATTGCATGCGTTGGGAATGATTCAAAAGCAAGGAACTTGGGTTCCTTATGATTTGAAGCCAAGGGACGATGAGCGTCGTTTTTTCGCCTGTGAATAACTGCTCCAGCGGCAAAAAAGGAAGGGTTTTCTTCAACGCATCGTGACGGGTGATGAAAAATGGATTCATTCACAGCAACCCAAAGAAAAGAAAGTCATGGGGACTGCCCGGTCATGCTTCTACGTCGTCGGCTCGGCCGAATATTCACGCTGCGAAGGTTATGCTGTGTATTTGGTGGGACCAGGTCGGTGTTATTTATTATGAGCTGTTGAAACCGAACGAAACCATCACTGGGGAACGGTATCGAATTCAATTGATGCGATTGAGCCGAGCACTGCGCGAAAAACGGCCACAATACGAGCAGAGGCACGAAAAAGTGATTCTACTGCATGACAACGCTCGGCCTCATGTTGCCAAACCCGTTAAAACCTGCTTGGAAACGCTCAAATGGGAAGTCCTACCCCACCCGTCATATTCCCCAGATATTGCGCCGTCCGATTATTACTTGTTCCGTTCGATGGCACATGGTCTGGCTGATCAGCAGTTCCGCTCATATGAAGACATCAAAAAATGGCTTGATTCGTGGATAGTCTCACAAGCCAAACGCTTTTACCGTAACGGTATTCGAACTCTGCAAAAAAGATTGGAAGAAGTTGTAGCTAGCGATGGGCAATACTTTGAATGATTCATTTGTAACCATTTTTTCACAATAAAGTTGCATTTTCAAAAAAAAAAAAAAAAACAGCGAAAACTTAGTTGCGCACCTAATATTTTTGGATGCTTGATTATTCGGGATATATTCATTTAATGTACGCGACGATGACGAGCTCGCAATTCGGTTTAGTAACATTTCTAACGAAGAAATAAAATAAGTTCTTTGTGTTGTAAAGTACGAACATTTTTACGCACGTGCTAGTTAAAAAGTTAATAATAAGTATGTACGTATGCACGCGTATGCGGGTGTAATTATATATGTATTAAAATAATACAAAATTACTTATATTAAAATCAAAGACGCCTTGCGGAAGCGGAGCGTCGTGGACAGCGGCGTCGTGGACAGCGGCGTCGTGCGAAGCTGCGACATAGTGTGCGGCACCGTGCGATGCGATGTTGTGCGGAACGGCGTTGTGCGAAGCAACAACGTGCGGAGCTGCGACTTGGAGTGCGGCGCCGTGCGATGCGACATTCGGTGGAATAGCTTCATGCGAAGCTGCATCCTCAGAATCTCTACTCATTAAATTTAAATTAATTTGTAGAAATTTTTTTCTAGTGCTTTCTGAAAAGTTAAAATGTTAATTAAATAAATATTTATAAATATAAAAATTATCGTGAGCACACTTCGTACTTACATCTTCCTCGTCCGTTGCGTTGCAACATACTGCGGTAATGTAGAGAAATCTTTTGTTTTATAAAAGACAGTGTCTGTACACTCAGTTATAAAAGGATTAATACATTCTTCATATACAGTCAACTAAAACATTTTATACTTTTGATTATATATTTATATATCATAATGAATAAAAAATTATGCGCGCATACTTACGTTTATTTATAATATAATCATATTAATTTAAATTATACTTTCTAGTTTTACATAATAATAAAGGAGG